TATACAGCAATGCAGTGGTGTAAGTAGTTTTGTTGTTTTGTCTGCAAAAGGTTCGTTCTTGATATTGTGTCATTTGGTCTAAAGTTGCATGTGAAGAACTGTAAATAGCCTATACCTGAAGTTGATTTTCATTCCTCGTATTGTAAAGGGTTTTGCTCTTTGGCAAACTAGTGTTGCATTACACTCATTATATTTCTTGACTTCTTATTCTAATGGATAAAGACATGTTGTCAGGCAGTCTTATTTTGTTAATTGCTTCTCTTCTCTCTTTTTTTTCATTTTATGAATATATACGCAGTTTCTTGAGAATAATTTGATGCTCCAATTAGTCGACAGTGATTGGAACTAATCAAATAGTGATCCAAGTTTGGATCACCATAAATCAACACCAAAGTGGGAAATCTGAATTTTAAAGTTATGAAAATTGAATCCTCATACTCACCGGGGTTAGAAAACATTTAAATTTGGATAAAATATACGGATTAAGAACCTTATTTAAATTCTTCATAAATTATGATTTGAATCCTGACAGAAAGTGAGTTTTAACTCCTGCATGAAATGTTTTAGATGTGAATTTATTTGTTTACATGATGCATATCACTGAATCTGATGCACCCACATTTACAACCATTACAAGCATAGAATCCAGCACTACCCTTTAAGTCTATTTTATTTCCAAGAAACTAATTTTCTTTTCAATTTCCAGTACAGTCTCGCCAACATACCTTAAGGAAACTCTCTGCTCTGGTTGGTTGGCCAGCACTCTAATGATGCATTGTGATAAGTAGGTTCCACTTTATTATAAGCAATTCATGATTTAAAACTTCTTTTTCTTAGCTGTTTATTCCTTCAGCGTAATCAAATCAACTATCTTCTCACTTTTTAGCTATAGGAACTTGTGATTCGATAACTATGCTGCAGTAAATGCCTTATTGAACATTACTAACGTTGATGCAAAATTGTCTGCCTGGTTTATGATTTTATCTATCTTCCAATGTGGGTGCAATTCTGCAGGTACTTTGGTGTTTTGAATGGGATTGACACTGCAATGTGGAACCCTGCTACTGATGTTTTCTTGCCTGCTAAGTTCCATGGTAAACTAGTGATCAACTTAAACCTCTCTCTGTTAAAACTGTCTCTATATATGTCCTTTGAAAAGAACCTGGAAGCAGTCCAATACTTTTATTGATGCAGTTTTGATGTGATACAGCTACGTCTGTAGAACCTATACTCTGTTATATTTTTTGGTTCACACAATTATTTTGTATGAACAGTCTGTCGATAACCGCAGGCTGCTTGTTTTCCAATAAATGTATCATTTTGAGATATCTTAATAAACATATAGTAGCAAAAGGAATCAATATATGAATGTTCATACATTAACTGCTTGGAAAGTGTTGTTGTCTTTCACATTCAACATCTACTTTCATCTAATTATTCAACCTGCCCTGCTTCAATTCACATCATAATCACGCAAAGTTAACATATGAATTTTAGATATTCATTCCAACTTTTACATATTGCTGTTTTGTTTCTAACAGCTCAAAAAATTGAGGGCAAGAAGTTGTGTAAATACTACGTACAAAGGGGGCTTGGTTTGGCTGCTAAAAGCATCACCAGCAGTAATCATGTGCCAGATGCAACAGTTAAGATCCCATTGGTAGTCTGTATTACTAGACTAGTTCCTCAAAAGGGTCTGCATTTGATTACTCATGCAGTTAAGCATATTGAAGAACTGGTATGACTCTCCCTCCACCCACGCTTCCTTCCCCCTCTCTCAGCTAAACATGGATTTAATGTTTCTCCTTCTATATTATTTGAGTCCATGTAGGGGGGGCAGATGATTGTCCTTGGAAAAGCTCCAGATGGTCGAGTTGAAGGGGAATTCAAACGTCTTGCAGATATGGTAATGAGCTTGAGGTTTTCAGATAACTAATGATTGGAGCCTCTCTTTTTTTTTTCCCCACACCATTTATGATATTAACACCACTTGGTATTTCATGAGCTTGATAATGAAAGAAATTGCATTTCAATAGAAGAATACAATGTGATGCTCAAAAGGCAAGATATGAGCAACTGATATAGTGAAGTTGCAGGAATGATTTACTATTTTTCTCATTTTCTTTAATCTCTCTGTAATATGGTCCTTTTTCTCATTAGCTGCTTTGCATGAATATAACAAAAACTCTTATCCTTTGCAGCATAACCAAGGTCCTAGCATCCGTATCCTTTTGATGTATAGGTAAATCATCGTAGAAGCCATAACATGCTCTTAATATTTTGAAGTGATGTATAATGTTGGGCTAGGAGTTACTGTCATGGTTGTGTCTTTCTTTGTGACACAGTGAGGAGCTGTCCCACATGCTTTATGCTGCAGCAGACATGGTGTTAGTTCCTTCCATGTATGAGCCATGTGGACTTTCTCAAATCATTGGAATGCGTTATGGATCGGTATGCATGTAGCTTTGCAAAATGATTAAAATCAACCATTGTTATCTTGATATAAAATTGTGTTACTAAAACTACTTATCAATGACTTCGCTCATTTATTGGTCATATTATTGGCAAATTCTTAAGGTACTATTCTCTGAAGATGAATGTTTACACAGTCATGAGTGTATGATTAGTAGTTTTAATTGTAATTCTGTTGGGCATATTGTGTGGTTGCTACCTTCCAGCAAGATCATTGAATGGACATACAAATGAATAGCAGATACATGGCATAAGCATAGGGAATGTAAAAAAGGGTGAAGCTCTCATCTGAAAATAATGGTTTTTCAGGTTCCAGTTGTTAGAAAGACTGGTGGCCTTGCAGACACAGTCTTTGACATGGATGACCAGTCGAACCCTGAGATTGCTAATGGGTAATTTTAATTCAATTTGTGAAATTTGATATGTTTTCAAAACCTCATATTGACACAATTTTCACCATTTTCTCCTGGACGGAAGTTTTAGGCTCTCTGGGTTTTATCTTCATAGGGAAAAATGGACCAAATACCCAAATTAATTTCTTATGGATAAATCCAAGTAGGTTTCGTGAAAATAGTGGATTGATGAAAACTTATGAACTTTTCAATATAATTTGGTGAAGAGATATTGTCTAGTGCTGGTTTACCTTATTTGGCTAGACAGTTATCCAGTGCTTTAACTTAATACTTCTGTCTTTATCTGGTCAGGTTTGTTTTTGAAGGAATTGATGAAGGATCCTTAAACTGGGCTCTAGACCGTGCATTTGCTTACTACAGAGATAGTAAGCTCTGCCTATTATAGTTCTTGCATGTTTACTCTCTCATGGATGACAGTCTTTTTTGCCATATACAATTTGCTCCAACAAGACCTCATTAGTGAGAGATACATGGCTCGTTACACTTGCTTGATAACATAATACTACTGGTAGTACTGTTATTTCATAAATCATGAAAACCATCACTAAACTGGTGAGACGAATTGTGATTGTTGGTCTTCTAGACCTATCTGTTTTAAAAATTCAGTCAATCATCATCTGTAGGGAGTATAAATTATGAAAAAATATCTCGAATTTTAGCTATGTATGTGCCTTACTAAATATCAACCCCCTTACTGCTACGTAGTTCACTCTTGCAGTTAACATTTTCTGAATATGGATTGGGTTTTGTTGATCTGCATAATTATTTCAATTTAAACATGAGTGAATGCATGCGTGCATCTTGTGATCTGACATGTAGATGTAGAGTGGTTCAGTCTTGTCAGATATTAAGATGGCATAGAGCTTCCTATCAGGTTAATGTTTTTAGCTCGAGGGTTTTGAATCTGTTGTGTCCTCGATTTGAATTGCAGAACCAGATGAGTGGAATGGCATTGTGAAGAAGGTAATCGAAATTGACAATAGCTGGAACAACACGGCTGGGAAATACATTGAAGTTTACAATTCAGTTAGAGGGAGATCTTGAAGGCACCCAGGTTAGTGATGGAATTTGTTCCAAGTTGTAAATTGCAAGATTCCCCTGATACAAATGCAAGAGCCGGGTCTAGGCCAGTAACATGCTTTCACTTTTGTTGTGGAACCTTCAATTCTTCTCTAAAGTTTTAGCACTGAAGAGTTTTTGTTTACATGAAGATGATGTACAGCGAGTAGGATCTTGAAGGCACCCAGGTCAGTGATGGCATTCGTTCCAAGTTGTAAATTGCTAGATTCCCCTGATACAAATGCAAGAGCTGGATCTAGGCCAGTAACACGCTTTCACTTGTGTTGTGGAACCTTCAATTCTGCTCTAAAGTTTTAGCAATGGAGAGTTTTTGTTTGCATGAAGCTGATGTACAGCGAGTAGGAAGAACAGCCTGAACAATAGACAATGAGGCAAAGAATCCACAATTACTAGCTGCTTGTACTGTTCCAGAAGGATTTTTGTAACAGTATTGAGCATACTTGCTGGTTTCATGTGTATTGACTTAACAATTTCAATTTCAACAAAATTTGGAATGGGAAAAGATGCTAGTGCTGCTGCACCCTATAAGTTAACCATTGGTAGTTTACATGTCATTATAGGCAATCAACTTTAAGAATAAGATAGACTGATGCCTCAGTAGATTGCAAAATTAGTTTTTAAAAAAAATCATATCACTAGCCCCAGGATTTTCTGCTGTTAAATGTCAGAAATAAAAAGACATCCAAATAAAAAACAACACAGCATTGCCATGATCAGCTTCTCATAAATTGAACATCCAACAACTGCCTTGAATGTAGCATTACAGATCAGTAAAGAATAGCTGCTGGCAGGCATCCAGTAAATATTGTTGTGTTGGAACTTCTGAAGAATAGAGAGAGCTGCCGCAGTAGGCCAATATGTTTTCTGCATGTTTTACTGTTGCCTCGTATCCGAATATATGATGCTAATTATTTGATGAGCTTATGTTGAGTTCTTCCATCAAATTTGAGAAGCTGAAGTGCTATCGGTGAGTAACTAAGGAAAGAACATTCGAGGACATTTATCTGCATAGTTATAGAAAGAAAAAAAAAATGTGTTTAAACATGAATTTTATTCTCATCAATATTGATTGATGAGTTCTATTCTTTACCATCATCTAGAACTAGAATGAGGTCACTCTTGATAACAGTGGTTATCCGATGAGCAACATTGATGACTGCGCATTCATTGGTTTCTTTCTGCAATGTTTAATGATACTGTCAGTTGCTGAATCGATCGATGCAGTAGACTCATCAAGAACAAGAATTTTTTTCTTGTGCAATAGTGTTCTTGCGAGGCAAAAGCCTGGACTCCAGTTTTCACCCTCTTCAGAAACTGCATCATTTTTCAGAATTGTAACAACTAAATGAAGCAAAATGGACAGTTCTAGAAAAATGAGTGCTGCTAATCTGTGCTTTTCTGTATTGTTTACCTTGGACATCAAAATATTCTGATCTTGTCTTGCTATCCCATCCAAATGGCAATGTCTAAGAACCTGAAAAAATATCAGAAGCTTTTGATGAGAACATGATTATAGTTCATTGATATAAGGAGGAAGATTTCAGATTCTTACTTCACAGAATTCCTCATTGTTGTGATGTTGCACAGGATCCAGATTATTCCTCATGGTTCCCTGGAAGTGTTGGGTCCAGAGGTATTATGCTTATGGTGGATCTTAAATGATACAATCCGACTGAAGTTATATCTAGTCTATCAATTGTATGTCCTTATGAGGGCTCAACCAGCGGAATAGAGCTTGAATTAGAGTTGATTTTCCACTTCCAGTTTTTCCCACAATTCCCATTTTCTTCTGTCCAGGTAAAGTGTAATTTGTTCTCTCGAGAACTGGTGGGAGAGCAGGGTCATAATGTATGTCAGTAAAGTGGAGACAAATAATGTCTCATCTCTATTATATTATCTCTATTATATGTAAGTTATATGCAAGTGAGGATAATTAATCTTCTAGTTAATACATGACAAAGGTTTAATTTAAGACATATATCATCGCATAATTTATGACCTTTACTCTCAGCCTGTTTATGACCTTTACTCTCAGCCTGGTATATATATATATACTCAGTGAAGAGCTGTGTGTGTAAAAAGTACAGAGAGAAGAAGATAAAAAAAGCTTGAGTGAAAGTGAATTGAGTAGAGAAGTTTTCTCTTTCTCATTGTTTGTATTGTTTCCTTGATAAATTAATATAAATCAGTAATTCTGTGAAGTAGATATATTATCAAACCATGTAAATTTATGTCTTTAATATCTGAAATGACCCAACATAACACACTTCGAGGTTTTTAATTTCCATGTAACCAGTCTCTGGCCATTTCGGTTCTGGACTTCAATCTTTAAGGGCAGAAGGTGCCTCGCTTGGTATGCAACTAAACAGAATTATTCTCTCGACCGAGATCATCTTGTTCTCGACACTGCACACATTCCACATAACCCAAGCTTGTAGAATATTAATCTTCAGACCATAGGTGACAGCAAGTCCTGCCAAGCCTGAAATAAGATCGGCTCCATTTTAGTTAGGCAATTTCATGTTTCCAGGGTTCATGCAAGTATAAAGCATCAAGAACAGCTTAACTATCATAGAATGTGCTTACTGCGGTTAGTGCCTGAGCCTGACAGAGTCACTAAGATCATAAGAACAACGAAGAAGCCAAGATTTAATAGAAAGTTTATCCTAACACAGAACCATTCCATTGTCGTGGAATTGTGTAAACTAATGCGTGAAAAATCATCAACCAGGCCAAGGTTTTTGGTGTAGAGTTTTTCATCCTTGTTGAAGCAGCGGATAGGCACTACCCAGCAATTGTTTCCGAGAAGTGGTGCAGAAGTGGAGCCTTTTGAATTCAAACCATCCTAGCCAGTTCTCTGGCAGTTTTAATGCAATAAGCCTGCACAGAACTTTGAAAAAATTCAGCGCCTAGTAACTACATACATGTTTTGAGGAAGAAACAGATTATCGTGCTGCACATATATTTATGTGAGACTGCTGGCTATTCATGCCACCTGTGACATGAGGGCGATGACACTGACAAGCTGAATAAGAGCAAACACTAATCCAGCTATTCTGTAAGATACATCAAAGTCGACAGTAGCTTGGTCTGTAGAAGACTGCAGTGAAAGCAAGGATAAAAGTACCAGAATATAGATAAGATAAGGAACTAGACTTCAATCAGGAAAAACGCAAATACAAAACAGTGCTGGGCGAAAGGACTAACCTCGACAAGGATTTAACTTGAAGTAGTGTCGAAAAATGACATAGGAGCTTGAAGAATCGATGTTATTAGGACATTGAAGAGATGATGATAAGTATTAAAGGTGATGAATGTTAACAGAAGTGCTCTTGCCAATACAAAAACAGAGCTCCCACCAGAAATTAAAGAAAAGATCTCGCCATCAGTTGCTTTTCGCTGACCCTGCCCTCTTTCTTGGTTTCCCACGCAATCCTATAATTGCTTCCCATTTGCAGTGCTTGGAAGAAAATATGAAAAGTAGAAGAAATGAATATATTGCTGCGTTCAGAGGAGGGTCAAAACTAGAGTCCAGGGCAAAGACAACTCATTTGTCTGGCAAGGGTACTGCTGCATAAAAGTTAAGTTCTTGTTCAGTAACATAAATTTTAGTGTTATTAAAAATTTACATGATTATTAATTTTAAAATCTGTTAAAATAATTAAGATATGTATAAGCTGCTCAAACATTCATGATAATCTAAAAAAATCTTGTTTTGGATGAGGCCACTGCATCCATTGATATGGCAACTGATAATATCATTCAGCAAACAATGAGAAATGAAACAAATGGTTCCTACCATCAGCAAGTCACTGTAGACACATAGACAGCAATATTATTTGCTATTCTTTTTTAAAAAAAAAAAATTAGATTCACTTTTTTTTTTTTACCCAAAAAATCTATAACATGCTCTAACCACCTTAAATCCATACATAAACTCAAAACAAATATGTTTGAAACTCTTTTTACTAAATAAATTTTTTAATGTTAAAATTAACTATTTTGATGTTTAGAATTGGTGTTAACAGTGAATTTATTTTTTTATTGTTGAAATTCATTGATTTTATTTTTATTCTTTCAAATCACTGACTGAAAAATAAAAAAAAATAATAAAATTTTAGACTAATCACACTTTTTTGGAAATTCTAAAATTTAGAGATTGATATTTATAATTTGTATGTGTGTGTGTATGTATATGTATATATTATTTAATAAATAAATCATAACATATTGATTCTCATCCTATCCACCTCTTGACCAGACATCATCCAAGTTTTTTTTCTAACCGGATGGGAGACAACTAAGAGTAAGTTTGCTGGCCGCACAAACAAAGAGCGACTAATTAGTGGCGAGGCATAAGAGTTGGCTTTAGGAGCACCATCTTCCGGTCAGTCACCATCATGTGTAATTAATAAATAGAGACATGCCATCTGCGACGAGACAGACCGAGCAATAAACTGATTAGTCTCTTGGTAACAAGAGGAGTACTGTTACAGTGTTAAATGTGCACTGGGTGCACACCTAAGGCATGATGTCCAATACCAGGCCTAAGGGTGCTGACAGTCATACCAACGATGGGATAAATTAGCAGCGCAGATTTATGCGGCTATAAGTTTGTCAAAGGAAAAATCAGCAACACAGAATGCTGGGCTTGACGATGGAATGTCCAAGCCAGAATGGCAGACTCATCAGTGGCATAGGCTGGTGAGAACTGGGGCTGTCGAGAAATGTGGGGTAGCGCAGGATGTTGACAAACATAGGCTTGGCGATGGAATGTTCAAGCCAGACAAGGAAACTCGTCAGGGGCATAGGCTGGCGAGAACTGGGGCTGTCGAGGAATGCAGCAGCATAGATTGGTGAGGAATATGGGCTTGGCGATGGAATGTCCAAGCTAGACAGGAAAACTCATCTGGGACATGGGCTGACGAGAATTGGGGCTGTCAAGGAATTCAACAGCGCAGACACTGGGAGCCTGCGCGCAGATGGGAATTCGGCAGCGCAAGATTTGGCTAGCTTGCACGCAGATGCGAATGCGGCAGTGCAGACATTGGGGCCTGCACGCAGTTGCGAATTCGACAGCGAAGGAATTGGGGCCTGCACGCAGATGCAAATTCGACAGCGCAGGAATTGGGGCCTGCACGCAAAAGCGAATTTGGCAACGCAAGATTGGGGCCTGCACGCAGTTGCGAATTCGGCAGCGCAGGATTTGGGGCCTGCACGCAGAAGCGAATTGGGCAGTGCAAGATTAGGCAACTTGCACGTAGATGTGCATTCGGCAGCGCAGACATGGGAGTCTGCACGCAGATGTGGATTTGGCATCGCAGTATTTGGCGACCTGTTACCCAGGGTGCGCACTCGGCAGCGCACAAGAGCTTGCGCAAGTCAGGGGCTTGACTTGGCAAGATAAAAAACTTGGACAAAGGACTGTCCAAGGCATGTGGGTGATTTAGCAGCAGATGAAGTTAGAGCTGGCAAATAAGGCTGCCAGGCAAGCATGCAGAAAGTGGGAGCATAACTGGGGTGTTTCCAAGTTGTTGAAATCATGAAGCACATGGGGGAGGAAGTTCTCCACTATGTCCTGGAAATAGGGATATGGGTGAGCCACAAATGATCATGGAGATCATAGGGGCGTAAGTGCCTATTATGTCCTAAAATATGGGGATCATGGAGGTGCCCTGCAGCTCACATACTTGGCTATAAATGGTGATGGTAATTCTTTGTTGTATAGGGAGAATACATAGAGAATAGAATGCATAGAGAGGAAATAACGTATGTAAACTTATTGGTGTAGCATGCGTATTATGTGCATAGCACACGTTGTGTAATCCTTTGTTGATGAGATAAATAAAGGTTGAGAGGTATTCTTGTATTCTCAGTGTGCTTGGTGTGCTTGGTTAAGAGCAATTCTACTTGTGTATTCCGCTTGTCTTTAACATGGGAAAGTGGGGAAACCTCTCAGGTGAGGGAAACACTTAGTTAATAGGCAAACACGAGTGGATAGACGAGGAAAGGCTGAGTCTAGCGAGGGACTAGGCTGCCGCACGGGTTTATTCGCGTAGCGAAAAATTACCCCGTGACAAGTACCATCACGGCATTTCCAGGTCAAGTGGCCATCAATGATGAAAGAGGATTCTTCAACTGCACAATAAAATAGAGAATGAGCTCTTAAACAAGGCAATACAAGCCCTTCTTTGCAGCCATTTTTTGTCCTCCTTTCGTGTGCTTAAACTTGTTGCAGAAACCTTAAACAATCTCTCTTGCTATTTGCAAATTGTAATGCATGTGGTTACCCACCTCCACTTCCAACCTAAAACATGGACTGCCAACAAGGTAACACCGTGACAGATGAAGGAACAAATGCTCAAAGTATTAAACATACAACAGCACAAAAGGAGGGCAATTATTCGAAGGAATTGTATTGAGGGAAATTGTTGAATTTTCTCTCTTTTTTATTAAACTCTTCTTATCACTATTTTGCCTCCATAATGGTAACATTACAAACCTTCTAATAGCCAAATGCTCTCTGGAAAATCAGTAGAAAGAGAAACCAGGATTAAATTCAAATTGGGCATCAACTACATAGTATACAAAATCTACTCCTCCTACTTTACACTGCCATCCCAATGACTTTCACCACCTCACCAATCACCATTGTCTTCCCCGTTCAAAATAACCCAGACAAAAAAAAAAAAAAAAAAAGCACCTTGACCACATTAACTTCCCTCAATTGTCCGTAAAGATCAAAAAACAAAAACCAGCTTGTTACTTTTTGTCGTCAGGCTACTCAGATGCCCAATACACCACCCCACATGTCAGTGAGCAAAGAATCTATAAAACTTTTAAGAGGGGTTTGCTCCGTCAGGGACCAGCAATCCAGCGATTCTGGCAACTACAACTAACAGCTCCTATCTGTCAACTTAACTGTGGTCATCATCCCAACAGGCTTAATCCTGGTATTTGTGGCTGCCCTCTTTCGACTTTAAAGCAGGAGACAAGTCATGGTTGTTGGAATCTTCGACTTTTGAAACCTCAATGTTTGAATCATTAGCGAGTTCCGCAGAAGTATTGCAATTAATGGCCGGTAAAACCTCCACACCAGGTCTTAAACTAACAACCTCTTCTCTGGCAGCCAGTTCTTTATTAACATCATCCAACTGGAGAGATTGCACAAAACTATCAGATATTTGATTTATGGTATCATCAGCAAGCAAACCTGGACCAGCTACTTTCAAACTAGGTTGCTGTCTGGCCTTCCTTTCCTTCAAAGCTCTCTCACATTGATCATAAAATCCAAAATCATCGATGATAGATGTAGGTGCATCATAATCCTTGAAAATTTTCAACATCTCAATACCCTGTTCTAGTTTCACCTGAGTATTTCAGCAAAAAGGGAGAGAGAAATGAAACAACCCATTAGGCCAAAAGAACTAATCAATAAAAGGAGTTGAAGCCAAAAGAAAATTGGCAAAAAAGATGCTTGACCAGAAAAATTCATCTTGATTGAATGGTATATGCAAATAAGGCTAAACACAGATTCAAAAGGGATAATGAGATTAGCAAAAGCTTAGATGATGTCTGATTCACGAGAAATATGTCAGCAGCTGGAAGTAGATATAAATTAGGACCGGCAAGAATGTAATGAAGTTATAAACACTAAAAATTATCCTTTCAGATCATAAGCAACTAGGCACAACACTCTAGCATCTCCTATTCAAAGAAATAGTACAGACAGCCCAGGACAATTCAACACCAAAAAAGAAAATAGATTGCTGTGCTTTTTGGATCACCAGACCACTCCACTCAGCATAGAAAATCATTTTGAAACCTGAGTAATTGTCCTATGTTTCATTACAGAAATAACGAATCAAGAGAAGGATCCCTCCATTCTAGACACTAAGTCCAAAATAAAATAATATCAATAATAATAAAAGAGGAGAAATGTTGATAATTTTTTTTTATAGCTTTACCTCTTGTGAATCTCGACTATGAGTAACAGGCTTGTTATCATTGTTTTCAAGTAGTATGTGCCGGAAACGACTGTTGGGAACATCTTTGATAATATGCCACTGGACTGGGAACTGGCCATTCCATCTATCTTGCTGCCAATAATCAGCATCCTTCTCAAAATCTACAGGTCCAACCATTTCCGCTACTCCACAGAACTGTCCACTTGCATTGACCTGCACAAAGAGAGAAACAAATCCAAGACCATTAATAAACCAAAAATAAAAATTATATTTCAGAGCAAGAGACAATTTAAAATAACACGCAAGTACGCAGGTTTCAGAAACAACTTGCTCACTAAAATGATTCTGATGTCCTTCAAAAAGTAGAAAATAACAAGATGCAGCAGGAGCAGGAATCTCCAAAAAGACTCTTACAGAATCCAGTCGACAAGTTAGAAACCAGCCAACATGAACCCATAGACCATGATCACCAAAATTTAGAATTTAACCCAATATAAGATACAGAAGAAGGACAACTTTACAAGGAATAGCAAGAAGCAAATCTAAGCATGATGGAAGTGATTCAGTTGAATAGAAAAAAAGATGCATGAAATAAACAGCTTCAAATAATACAAGCACAAG